AAGCATTTCGGAAACAAATCATACATGGATTATCTGTCTGTTTCTCTGCCCTTCAAACTAATGAAAACAAAATAACTCCCACTAATTTGAAAAATCCTTCACACTGTCCTTGTGAAAACATCAACAGTACTATTAATACAATTTAAAGGCAAGAAACAATTATTACTGAAAAACAAAATTAGTGCTTCCTCTCCAGTGTGTACTATCTTTGAAAAGAATACTGACTTGGTGTAAAAATTGTTGCTTGATCTTACTGCCAAATTTAGCTATTTATTCTAAAAACAGAAACATTCTTAACCTAATTTGTAGGCCAGATATGCACAGCGCAAGATACACAGAATAAAAGATTGTTTCATTAGCTCCAAGAGTTTGTAACATTCTACTCTGGAATGTCAACCCAAATCTCCAACATGATCCAAAATGAATCCTCCTTCTGCACTTGGCTAGCAAGACATTAACTATAATACTCAGAAAGGGAAAAAGAACAAACAATATCATCAAAAATAAATACCACCCCTTACTGGAAGATTTTCCCCTTCTGGGAATTTTTACGTCCTCTGTGGAAGGATCAAGGCGTGCTTGGGTTGGGGAAATAACATCATTATTCTAAAACTATCATGAGAACGAGATTGGTGGCATTAAGAGATTATAGCTGGAGGAATTTTCCACTAAAATAGATGTTTCTAAGCTAGCAATTAGAAGAAATACAAGACTCATGGTAAAATCCTACTTTTGGAATAGGCATCAAATTTTCACAAGTTTTGGATGTATAATCAAATCCCCCAATAACAAGGCACATGAATGGCCTCCACATTTTAAATACCTTTCAACTACCCTGTTCTATTCTTTTAGTACCACCCCCATTCCTCACAGCAATCCCTAGTGTCGGATTTCTCCTGCTTCTTCCTTTAACTACGCTACACACATCCAACCATATACCAACAGTTAAAAATGAGAATCCACTCCCAGGCTCTGCTAAAACTGTGACACAGAGTCACTACGGAAAACAGAAACTACAGAAATATCACCAGTAAGTTCATCAAACTGAAGATAATTACCATGAATATTTTACAACATATTAGTAGTCTGAAAAGTTTTGGGATCATAGATCTTTTTACACAATGTGATGAAACATACAGATCTTCTCGGAAAACAAACTAACATGAGGCTAATTCTTTCAAATACTCACATCATCAATGTGTCCATATTCATTACAAGGACAAAAGCAAACACATTTTTGTTTTAATAAAATTTCCATTCAGAGGAAATTTAATAATAAGGGTTCATTATACTAAAGCCTTTTTCCTCAACTGGGGAAAAAATGCCCGTCTGGCTGCTTCCTGTGGGGTACTGTTGGGTACAGGGCTTGTGTAGGTATCTTAAAGACCATGAAACCAACTGCTGCTGCATGAGTCAGGACGGGTGCTGGGAAATTCTGTTTTCACATGAAGATTACTTAATACTGAATTAAGCAACTTACGAAAGAAAACACGCATCTAAGCACCCTGTAAAGATGATATAAGTCAGCATCAGGGACATTCCCAATGGCTGATTTACATGCTTAAATAGTCTTGCCTTTTTCTTTTAATTTTAACCAATGCTCTATAAAATTAAGCAAGTGAATATTCTGTAAAGAAAAACATAAATTAGGGGTAGAGATTCAGCACAACAGAACAAGACATCCCAGGTGACGGGAGAATCCTCGCCAGGACTGCCTGGCTCAACCCGGGCTCTGCTCCCGACAGCACCTTCCCACCGCCGCACACCCCAGGGGCACAAAGTGACGGCTCGGAGGCCGGGTGCCAGCCTCCCACCAGGGAGATGGGAACTGATCCAGGCTGCTGCCCTTGGCCTGGCCCTGCCTGCTTCTGGCAGACGTGTGAGGGAGTACACCAGTGAAAGGAAGACTGTTGTCGTTGAAATAAATAAAAATAATACATAGCACTTAAAAAAGAGAATTTCACATTGGAAAAATCCATTATTACATTATGCTAACCAAGCTTTCCTAAGTTTTGAGTTTCAGAACATTAACAACTTCTATTTTCAAATACTTCCCCATGTATTTAAAAAGTAAAACTGAATATGTGAAAAATATTTCAGATAAACCAAATCAATTTTGAAATATGACAAAACTCAACCGAGTGCTTAAAAAGCTTTATGCTAAAAATATACAATCCTGAAACTGGTGGAACAAACTAAATACTTCATTGTTAACAGCAGAAATACAACTAGTCTTATGGGTACTCAAATTCTGACACTGAGGGTTTTTAAAATATATATATTTATTTAATTTTAAAGATTTGTTTATTTTTATTACAAAGCCAGATATACATAGAGGAGGAAAGACAGAGAGGAAGATCTTCTGTCCACTGATTCACTCCCCAAGTGGCCGCAATGGCCGGTGCTGTACCAATCCGAAGCCGGATGCCAGGAGCTCTTCCGGGTCTCTCACATAAGTGCAGGGTCCCAAAGCTTTGGGTCATCCTCAACTGCTTTCCCAGGCCAGAGGCAGGGAGCTGGATGGGAAGCAGGGCTGTAGATATTAGAACCAGCGCCCATTATGGGATCCTGTCAAGGGACTTTAGCAGCTAGGCTACCACATCAGACTCAAATTTTTCTGTTTGATGATGTTTACATAGTTGACCAGGCTGGGAAGCACTATGGGTTAGGGAAAGTGGGTGAGGCCATTGTTTCCAAATTTTTTCTTCTTCCCGTGTCTGGGGGGCTGGGGAATATAAGAAGGGAAGCCTTACTCAGCCTCCCAACCAGCTCAGTACTCAGGGATGGGATCAGCCGCCCAGCCACATGCCAGGGTTCCCGATGTGGAATGTGCTCTAAGGGTTCTGCTTAAGCTTCAATAGTTCTGAAATGCTGTCAATCTCACCAGTCCAGGAGCCAGGAACTTCCTCCGGGTCTGCCACACCGGTGCAGGGTCCCAAGGCTTTGTGCCTTTGTACTCCACTGCTTGTCTAGGTCATACGCAGGGAGCTGGATGGGAAGTGGGCAGCTAGGACATGAACTGGCGTCCATATGGGATCCCGGTGGGTGCAAGGAGTTGATTCAGCCACTAGGCTATTGCTCCTGGCTCAAAATTTTGAAAACTTCATGAAGATTTATAAAATAACTACTCCCATTACTGGTTCTAATAAGAAAAATACAAACCTGAAGATGGCATTAATAAATTTAGGTTTTATTATTTAAGAACTAAACATGTATGTTTAGAACAACAAACTTGGTAAGTTATAAAAGTTTATCCTTTGGGCCCAGAGCAGTAGCCTAAAGGCTAAAAGTCCTCTCCTTGCATGTGCTGGAATCCCATGTGGGTATCAGTTTGTGTCCTGGCTGCACTACTTCCCGCTCCCTGCTTGTGGCCTGAGAAGACAGCTGAGGACAGCCCAAAGCCTTGGGAGCCTGCACTTGGCGTGGGAATCCTAGAAGAAACTCCTGGCTTCCTGCTGGATCGGCTCAGCTCCAGCCATTGCAGCCACTTGGGGAGTGAACTAGCAGATAGAAGAGTTTTCTGTCTCTCCTTCTCTCTGTGCGTCTGAGTTTCCAATAAAAACAAATAAATCTATTTTAAAAAGTGTATCTTTTTTCTTAAAAAAAAAAAAAAAAGATAAATTTTCTTGACAGGCAATTTGGCCTGAAAACAGGCCACACGAATGCTGGTTGATAATAATGGCCGGTGGGGAAAGATTCTTTTTAGCTTAAACTAGCTTTGGTAAATGTTAGAAGCTTAAAAGAAGGGCTGGCACAGTGGCACAGCACATTAACCCTCTGCCCTGTGGAGCCAACATCCCATGCGGGCACCAGTCCCTGTCCTGGCTGCTCCACCTTGGCTCTAGGTCTTTGCCTGGGGCCTCGGGAAGCAGCAGAGGGCACCCTTGGGACCCTGCACTCAAAGTGGGAGATGCAAAGAAGCTCCTGGTTCCAATTTCAGATCAGCTTAGCTCTGGCTACTGCAGCCATTTAGGGAGTGAACCAGCAGACGGTTCCTCTCTTGGCACAATCTACATTTCAAATAAAAATGAGTATCTCCCCGTGAAAGCAGCTTAACGTTACACCTATATGACTGCTACTCAGAGCTGAAAACAAAAGCACCAACAGCAGGAACACTTGAGCTTTTCTTTTTTTGCCCCATGTGCCAGAGTTGTGAACACCTGCTGTCACACGCCTGCCAGACAACTTACTGCAAGGCCTGCGTCGTCCCCTTCGCCTCTGGAACCAAGATTAAGTACTATGGCCCATAGGAAAAAAAAAAAGGACTTTATTTATACAGTACTAAAATTACAGGTCCCATTAGTGAATTATGTTTCATTTTCAACAGAAAACTACAACCAAACAACGTCAAGTTTTAATGTAGAGGCAAATGAAAACAAAGGTTTCACAAGGCTGATGGATCTGGTAAGGCAGGGGGCTGCCTGCACCACCCAGATTCTGCCGCTGACTAGATCTGTAACCGGAGGGAAAGCATTCCACTTCCTTGATCTCATTTCCCTCACTCATAAAACCAACCTAGTCACCCAAGGGCTGCAGAGTCCTCTGTAGAACCTGCTGACCAGCACGGCTCCAGAGTGCTGGACTCTCAGCCTCCAGAACTTGGGGAAAAGAAATTTCTACTGCTTATGGCAGCATGACACTGACGACCCTTTGTTATGGCAACCTGACATGACTAATACCAGTGGTTTACTTGCACTTGCAAGGTTCGTTTGCGTGTAGAAAAGCAACTTCACCATTTTTTACTTTAGAAAGTTCATCAGATTCATGCAAACTCACCATGTTGGCAGATTTAAAAGACTGCAGGCTATGTCAGAAAAACCATGGCCAGACAGACATTACTCTCTGACTTACAATATACTTTGCTTTAAAGAGCAGAATGCAAGGGCTTCTGATTTTTCAAAAAGTTGCAATTCAAAACCAGTTCTAATTAAGCTATGATTAGCCAGACATCACGCTCATGTCTGCAAATACGCTGTAAATCATAATGTGAGGATTCTTACCTTTTGTACCTGCCTGAAACGGTTCTCGATGGTTCCTGTGAAGCAAAAACAACAACAAATCAGTTAGGAGGCATTTGTAATCATGCAACTAATTACTGATTATATTAAAAACAAAACTGGTGAGAACATATAATTTTGAAAAAATAAATTTAGAGCAGTTGGTAAACACACACACATAATGAAGAACCACAGACTCTATATCTATTTAATAGCTCAAATCAATCATTTTAAAGATGATTTTTTAAATATGGAAGTGATTGAAAACTCAGAGAATGGACAAAGGGGACATTATTCATCAATCAACCAGCTTAAAACTTTTAATAAAGTCAATGAGCAACAAAACACACAACTACTGTAATCTTAACCTGTCTTATTTTTTAAATACCCTTATTTATTATTATTTTTAAGAAGTACATTACTTTCCCATAAACCTATCCCCAGCCCCATCTCATACGCAAGTTACTGAATGCTACAGCCCAGGCTTACCCTGCCCATCACACTCTTGGCGCCCCCACACACCAGCGAGAACTGCAGCCTAGTTAGGGAAACCTCCGATAACTCCCACCAGCCCTGACCCAGACCTGATCCCTGAACGTTCCAGTACGTGCAGCAGATGGGTCAAATTTGTCCTATATCCCTTTCAGCACCCCTCCATGCCAATGGGTGTTAAAGCCTAGCTCAAACCAACCCACCCCACTCTCCAGCACACACTTATGCTGGCGGGTGCTACCACCTGTCCAGCCAGGTGCCCTCCATTCATGGTTCTCAGGCTCATGAGCTGCAGCCCGTCAGAGAGGTGCCCAGTTTCCCTCTTGGGCCCACTCCTAGCCTTGGATCTTGCACTGTGCAGGTGGTTCCAGGGCACAGTCTGACCAGACTTGCCCCCAGTTCCAGCACTTGCCAGCTGATGCTATGGCAAAGCCCACTCAGCATGACTCTCCTCCTAACCCAGTTCATGTGCAGGCCAGTGGGTGCTGTAGCCCTGCCCAGCCTAGTCTGTCTCCAGTCCCAGCTTCCACACTCACCAGTGGCAGCAGTGGTCCAGCAGGGAAGCCTGCGGCTGCCCTGCTAGACTTACCCACCCCACCTCCAGTCCCCATCCCAGGTCTTACATGTGCTTACAGGTGAATGTTGAGGCCCAGACTGGCATGGCTCAACTCACCTCGGCATTCACTGGTGAGTGCTGCCACCTGGCTTGGCCCGGGCTGCCCCCAGTTTCAGCTCATGCTGTTGGGTGCTGCAGCCTAGCCTAGTCTAGGCAGCCTGCAGTCCCAGCTCTAGTGTGAATTGGCTGGCATTGTGGCCCAACCCAGCCTTTCTTGCCTCTGCCCGTCCTGGCTCTCAGATCTGCCAGTGGGTGCCATGAAGTCGCCCAGTCTGACCTGACCAACATGTATGCCACCAGGTACTGTACCCTGGCTTGGTCTGGGCTGCTTCCATCCTCCATTCTTGCACTCACCTGCAGGGAACACATCCTAACAGAGGAGTTCCCCAAGCTCTTCAATCAGTTCACCTCCCAGTCACAGATCACATACACATCAGTGGCTCCTTAACCCAGCCTGCCTTGGCCATCTTCTGTCCTGGCAGGAAAAAGCAACCTTGCTTGACCAACCCACATCCATTCTGGCTGTCTGGTCCACTCCCCAGACCCAGCAGATACAGAGACTTATCCCAGGCTGTCTGACATCTACCCTGGCTCTTTGGAGCAGCAGGGGGTGCTGGAGCCTGGCCCAGTCTGGCATGCCCCAGGCCCAGTCCACACCCATGCTGAGGGATGCTACAGCCACATCCAGCCCAGTTCATCACCCTATCCTGGCTCTCACATTCATCATTGGGAACTGCAGCAAAACAAGCACATCCTCTTAGCTACTCGACCAAGCTCTTTCCCAGCCATGGATCTTGTGTATGTCTGTGGTTGCTCCAACCAAACACAACATAACCCATCACCCAGTTTGGCCTTTGCCATTAAATGCTGCAGCCTGACCTGGCCTAAGCCCATCCCAACTCTACCAGTAGGTGCTGCAGCCTAACCCTGATCAGTCAGTTGCTATTCCTGGTTTTCATGCCAACCGGTAGGTGTGATAACCTAGCCTAGCTTGTCACGGCCTCAACCCCATCCTGGCTCCTGCATGTGTCTGTGTAATACAGACTGGCTTCGCCCTGCCTAGTCTACCCTATACAGAGATAACACACACACAGCTGCAGAGAACTGAAGCAGTCCTGCCTGGCCTGGCAAACATCCAGCCTTGATTCATGTGCTCACCAGTGGAAGCGATAGTCCACCAGAGAAATTCAAGTTCCATGGCCCACTCCCAGACCCAGATCTCACACGTGCCAGTGGTAGTAGGCCATTATCCAGCAGTCTGCCCCTCAGTGTTTGCTTTTGTTATGTGCTGGTGGATGTTGTGGCCTGGCCTACTCCACACCCAATCCTTGGGTGTGCCTGCAGGCACTACAGCCTGGACCATCCTGGCCTGTTCCCAACTCCAATACCCATGAGCGTTGTTGAGTTACATGGTTATGCCTAACTCAGCTTGTTACCACCTCAGCCTTTGAGCAAAACAACCAGTATTGCAGTCCCACAGGGGTGAGCCCATGGTCTGCTGACAGAATCTGCTCCCAGAACCATTCTCTTGTGAGCTGATTAGTGTCATGCCTCAGTCTAACATGGTCGCACCCTCTGCCCCAATACTTACAGGTGGGTACTGTGGTCAAGCCTTGCTAGGTAGACCCCGAACCACAGCTTCTGTGTGATGCCAACAATCCCAGCTCACATCTCCCACCTGGGTATGTGAGCTGGTTTGACTGCAAAAGTTCCTTTAAACCACCTGGCCTCAGCCCCTTCATTTACCTGCAAGTGCAGTAGCCTGGTTGGTGGAAGTCACCCAGAAGTCACTCCTTATGTATCACATTTTCCCTCAGCACTCCTCCATCCCACACATCTTCAGACCTGCTTCCCTGAGCAACCAATTAACAGCTCCCCGTGCCTGTGAGCATGCAGATTCCCCAAGCCCTGGCCCTGCCTGCCTACTCAGGGACGGCACACACTCGCATGCAGGTTTCCAGACCATTTGTTGGCAAGATGGCATCTGATCACATATTTTTTATTTTTTTTTTCTAAAGATTTATTTTTATTATGTTTTTATTGGAAAGGCAGATATACAGAGAGGAGAGACAGAGAGGAAGATCTTCCGTCTGATGATTCACTCCCCAAGTGAGCGCAACGGCCGATGCTATGCCGGTCCGAAGCCAGGAGCCTCTTCCGGGTCTCCCACGCGGGTGCAGGGTCCCAAAGCCTTGGGCCGTCCTCGACTGCTTTCCCAGGCCACAGGCAGGGAGCTGGAAGGGAAGCGGGGCTGCCGGGATTAGAACCGGCGCCCATATGGGATCCCGGGCGTGCAAGGCGAGGACTTAACCACTTGCGCCACCGCGCCGGGCCCTGCTCACATATTTTTTAAACAAAACAAAAACAGCATGGGCAACTATGCTGGCACTGGTACAGCTAACACAGATTTGCCATTAACCAGACCAGAATGCCCACCAGCTATTAGCTGTTTTTTTCCCAGTAGTTAACACTTCTAGGTGCAATGCAATGTTGCCTACAGCTGGGGGATAAATAGCATTTTTAAAAAGCTTAATCATTAACTGTTCAAAAGAAAACATTACAATTAAAGAATTTCTAGGGGGATGGTGTTGTGGTGTAGTTAGTAAAGCGGCTGCCTGCAACACCAGCATTCCATATGGGTGTTTATTCATGTTCAAACTGTTCCAGTTTCAGTCCTGCTTCCTGCTAAAGGCCTGGGAAAAGCAGCAGAGGATGATTCAACCATCTGGCTGCTGACTCACACAGGGGAGACTTGCAGGACTGGCTCAAGCTGGGCCACTGCAGCCGTCTAGGGAGTGATCCAGCAGCTGAGACGCCCTCCCCTTCCTTCCTTCTCGCCCCTCCATCTCTCTAACTCCACCTTCCAAATAAATCATCTTTAAAAAGAAAAAAGAATTTCTGGTCCTTTAAAATGAAAGAATAAGCTCTTTTTGTAAAATGACTAGTTCATTAGTCAAGCAGGAAATGCTACCATAAAACACAGAGAAATGTGTGCAAATAGTACAGCAAACCAAATGGCTGAGAATTACACCATTTCAGCCCGAGAGGCCACGGAATAGCCGGGAGGTTGTAGGTTTAACTTCTTTTACTCTATTTCTCTTTATCTCATAAATGCAGGAACAAGGCCTATTGTATTGATTGCTCCGGAAATTAAAGAAGAAAAGGAAAGTAACAAGTGCAATTTCTTTGCAGGCTTATAATTTGAATTTATGGCTCAATTTTTTTTAAAGTTACGGAAAAACTCAAGTGGGATACAGAATTAACCAACCTTAGTTATTCCAAATCAATAAATTTCTATTCACAACAGCCTTAATCAGCTAAGTATAAGCCTTAATTTTCCAAATAAAATACTGGCTTCCCAAAGACAGTGACATCCCCTGCTCCTTGATTCCTTTTCTTCTCTACAGCACAACTAGTAAACAATGTATGAAATATATATTAATAACACAGGGAAATAACGAACTTCCTCTGTGATCTCTGGCTGCAGAAAAAGGCATCACTAGAGATGTAAGCATCTGCAGGCAGTCACAAGGTCACAGGAGACTAGAGGGTCCATGTGTGGGGGCTGGGTTCACAACGAGCAATACTACTGGTCAGCCAGGCTGTGACTGCTGACAGGAAGATGTTTTCACCCTGTCTGGGCTTCGGCTGTTCTTACAGCAAGGAAAGCAACAACGCCCTGGCAAGCAAACGTTAATAAGAGTTGCTAATCAGAAGGTCATTAAGGTAGCATCCTGCGATGACAAGGCAAATGGATCTTTGCATTCTGTGTACCAAACATGTAAAACAGATCTCCTATGTTTAAGAATATGCTATGTCTAGTAACATACATATCTAGTTATTAAATTTTGTTTCTCTTTTTAAAATACTTATTTTTTTTATTGGAAAGTCAGATTCACTGAGAAAGACAGAGAGAGAGATTTTCCACCT